AACCTTACTCTTTCCTGTATTCACTTTTAATTTTCTTCTTTTGCACACCCTACCAAATTCATCCACCAATCTCTGCAACTTCTCTTCAGAATCTCCCAAGAGCACAGTGTCATCAGCAAAGAGCAGCTGTGACAACTCCCACTTTGTGTGTGATTTTTTATCTTTTAACTCCACGCCTCTTGCCAAGACCCTCGCATTTACTTCTCTTACAACGCCATCTATAAATATATTAAACAACCACGGTGACATCACACATCCTTGTCTAAGGCCTACTTTTACTGGGAAAAAATTTCCCTCTTTACTACATACTCTAACTTGAGCCTCACTATCCTCGTAAAAACTCTTCACTGCTTTCAGTAACCTACCTCCTACTCCATACACTTGCAACATCTGCCACATTGCCCCCCTATCCACCCTGTCATATGCCTTTTCCAAATCCATAAATGCCACAAAGACCTCTTTAGCCTTATCTAAATACTGGTTTCTTTTTCTGTCTCATAAACACGCTAAGATAACAGGGATATCTTGCTACTCCTACTTACACTTTGGTCACACTTCACAGACACGCACATGCATATATATATATACATACATCTAGGTTTTTCTCCTTTTTCTAAATAGCTCTTGTTGTTTTTTATTTCTTCTATTGTCCATGGGGAAGTGGAAAAGAATCTTTCCTCCGTAAGCCATGCGTGTCGTATGAGGCGACTAAAATGCCGGGAGCAATGGGCTAGTAACCCCTTCTCCTGTATACAATTACTAAAAAAGAGAAGAAGAAAAACTTTATAAAACTGGGTTGCTTAAATGTGCGTGGATGTAGTGCGGATGACAAGAAACAGATGATTGCTGATGTTATGAATGAAAAGAAGTTGGATGTCCTGGCCCTAAGCGAAACAAAGCTGAAGGGGGTAGGAGAGTTTCAGGGGGGGGAAATAAATGGGATTAAATCTGGAGTATCTGAGAGAGTTGAGCAAAGGAAGGGGTAGCAGTAATGTTAAATGATCAGTTATGGAAGGAGAAAAGAGAATATGAATGTGTAAATTCAAGAATTATGTGGATTAAAGTAAAGGTTGGATGCGAGAAGTGGGTCATAATAAGCGTGTATGCACCTGGAGAAGAGAGGAATGCAGAGGAGAGAGAGAGATTTTGGGAGATGTTAAGTGAATGTATAGGAGCCTTTGAACCAAGTGAGAGAGTAATTGTGGTAGGGGACTTGAATGCTAAAGTAGGAGAAACTTTTAGAGAGGGTGTGGTAGGTAAGTTTGGGGTGCCAGGTGTAAATGATAATGGGAGCCCTTTGATTGAACTTTGTATAGAAAGGGGTTTAGTTATAGGTAATACATATTTTAAGAAAAAGAGGATAAATAAGTATACACGATATGATGTAGGGCGAAATGACAGTAGTTTGTTGGATTATGTATTGGTAGATAAAAGACTGTTGAGTAGACTTCAGGATGTACATGTTTATAGAGGGGGCCCCAGATATATCAGATCACTTTCTAGTTGTAGCTACACTGAGAGTAAAAGGTAGATGGGATACAAGGAGAATAGAAGCATCAGGGAAGAGAGAGGTGAAGGTTTATAAACTAAAAGAGGAGGCAGTTAGGTAAGATATAAACAGCTATTGGAGGATAGATGGGCTAATGAGAGCATAGGCAATGGGGTCGAAGAGGTATGGGGTAGGTTTAAAATGTAGTGTTAGAGTGTTCAGCAGAAGTTTGTGGTTACAGGAAAGTGGTTGCAGGAGGGAAGAGGAGCGATTGGTGGAATGATGATGTAAAGAGAGTAGTAAGGGAAAAAAAGTTAGCATATGAGAAGTTTTTACAAAGTAGAAGTGATGCAAGGAGGGAAGAGTATATGGAGAAAAAGAGAGAAGTTAAGAGAGTGGTGAAGCAATGTAAAAAGAGAGCAAATGAGAGAGTGGGTGAGATGTTATCAACAAATTTGTTGAAAATAAGAAAAAGTTTTGGAGTGAGATTAACAAGTTAAGAAAGCCTAGAGAACAAATGGATTTGTCAGTTAAAAATAGGAGAGGAGAGTTATTAAATGGAGAGGTAGAGGTATTGGGAAGATGGAAGGAATATTTTGAGGAATTGTTAAATGTTGATGAAGATAGGGAAGCTGTGATTTCGTGTATAGGGCAAGGAGGAATAACATCTTGTAGGAGTGAGGAAGAGCCAGTTGTGAGTGTGGGGGAAGTTCGTGAGGCAGTAGGTAAAATGAAAGGGGGTAAGGCAGCCGGGATTGATGGGATAAAGATAGAAATGTTAAAAGCAGGTGGGGATATAGTTTTGGAGTGGTTGGTGCAATTATTTAATAAATGTATGGAAGAGGGTAAGGTACCTAGGGATTGGCAGAGAGCATGCATAGTTCCTTTGTATAAAGGCAAAGGGGATAAAAGAGAGTGCAAAAATTATAGGGGGATAAGTCTGTTGAGTGTACCTGGTAAAGTGTATGGTAGAGTTATAATTGAAAGAATTAAGAGTAAGACGGAGAATAGGATAGCAGATGAACAAGGAGGCTTTAGGAAAGGTAGGGGGTGTGTGGACCAGGTGTTTACAGTGAAACATATAAGTGAACAGTATTTAGATAAGGCTAAAGAGGTCTTTGTGGCATTCATGGATTTGGAAAAGGCGTATGACAGGGTGGATAGGGGGGCAATGTGGCAGATGTTGCAAGTGTATGGTGTAGGAGGTAGGTTACTGAAAGCAGTGAAGAGTTTTTACGAGGATAGTGAGGCTCAAGTTAGAGTATGTAGGAAAGAGGGAAATTTTTTCCCAGTAAAAGTAGGCCTTAGACAAGGATGTGTGATGTCACCGTGGTTGTTTAATATATTTATAGATGGGGTTGTAAGAGAAGTAAATGCGAGGGTCTTGGCAAGAGGCGTGGAGTTTAAAAGATAAAGAATCACACACAAAGTGGGAGTTGTCACAGCTGCTCTTTGCCGATGACACTGTGCTCTTGGGATATTCTGAAGAGAAGTTGCAGAGATTGGTGGATGAATTTGGTAGGGTGTGCAAAAGAAGAAATTAAAGGTGAATACAGGAAAGAGTAAGGTTATGAGGATAACAAAAAGATTAGGTGATGAAAGATTGAATATCAGATTGGAGGGAGAGAGTATGGAGGAGGTGAACGTATTCAGATATTTGGAGTGGACGTGTCAGCGGATGGGTCTATGAAAGATGAGGTGAATCATAGAATTGATGAGGGAAAAAGAGTGATGTGGTGCACTTAGGAGTCTGTGGAACAAAGAAACTTTGTCCTGGAGGCAAAGAGGGGAATGTATGAGAGTATAGTTTTACCAACGCTCTTATATGGGTGTGAAGCGTGGGTGATGAATGTTGCAGCGAGGAGAAGGCTGGAGGCAGTGGAGATGTCATGTCTGAGGGCAATGTGTGGTGTGAATATAATGCAGAGAATTCGTAGTTTGGAAGTTAGGAGGAGGTGCGGGATTACCAAAACTGTTGTCCAGAGGGCTGAGGAAGGGTTGTTGAGGTGGTTCGGACATGTAGAGAGAATGGAGCGAAACAGAATGACTTCAAGAGTGTATCAGTTGTAGTGGAAGGAAGGCGGGGTAGGGGTCGGCCTAGGAAGGGTTGGAGGGAGGGGGTAAAGGAGGTTTTGTGTGCGAGGGGCTTGGACTTCCAGCAGGCATGCGTGAGCGTGTTTGATAGGAGTGAATGGAGACAAATGGTTTTTAATACTTGACGTGCTGTTGGAGTGTGAGCAAAGTAACATTATGAAGGGATTCAGGGAAACCGGCAGGCCGGACTTGAGTCCTGGAGATGGGAAGTACAGTGCCTGCACTCTGAAGGAGGGGTGTTAATGTTGCAGTTTAAAAACTGTAGTGTAAAGCACCCTTCTGGCAAGACAGTGATGGAGTGAATGATGGTGAAAGTTTTTCTTTTTCGGGCCACCCTGCCTTGGTGGGAATCGGCCGGTGTGATAATAAAAAAAAAAAAAATAAATAAAAATTATATGTTTCACTGTAAACACCTGGTCCACACACCCCCTACCTTTCCTAAAGCCTCCTTGTTCATCTGCTATCCTATTCTCCGTCTACTCTTAATTCTTTCAATAATAACTCTACCATACACTTTACCAGGTATACTCAGCAGACTTATCCCCCTATAATTTTTGCACTCTCTTTTATCCCCTTTGCCTTTATACAAAGGAACTATGCATGCTCTCTGCCAATCCCTAGGTACCTTACCCTCTTCAATACATTTATTAAATAATTGCACCAACCACTCCAAAACTATATCCCCACCTGCTTTTAACATTTCTATCTTTATCCCATCAATCCCGGCTGCCTTACCCCCTTTCATTTTACCTACTGCCTATGTATAGTGTATAGTGCCAAAACAAAAGCATCCACATTGCTCAACTCACTAGTATTTAGTCACTTAGCCATAATACCAACTTACCTCATAATTTTGTAATATTTTAAACTTAAGATTTAATATAAGTCTGCCCGAAATGCCTAGCCATGCTAGGTGTTCTAGTGGTACACTCTGTAATTATTATTTTACTACATGTAAACCACACAATAACCAAATTCTGTAAACTCATCATTGTAATCCTTATAGAGAATAAACTTTGAATTGAATTGAATTGAATAGGTATTAGTGCACTCCACGGTAAGCAAGGCAGAATAAAAGCCACTAGAGAGCAGACTGTGCTTCAACCAACTCTAGAATGGGAATGACAAGGGCAGACAGGTGAGTGGTACCCACATCAGCTCTGCGATTGCCAAAACCATCTTCTCATTGGCTGGAACCTGGGTACTGATTGAATGACGGGGCCCCATCATCAACCCTAGTACCTGGTTCGCTGGTTGGGGGAGATAGCCTTTCAATGAGGGTGTGTACATGCTCCAAATAAAGGTTACGTACTCTTTGCATGCCACACCCATGATATGATTTGCTGGTCAGACATTGGTTTGTATCGATTTGATGCAGTGCATATATGTATGCTAATACCGATTCTTGAATTTTCAGGGGAAAGTGGTAATAAGCTGGGAGCAACCAAAGGAAGAAATGGTGGCCTATCGTTCTTTCCAGCCATTCATACCGCTCCTTACAGCTCTTAATATGCACCAGGTTCAGCTGTGGGCGGTGTGGGCACTACATCATGTTACTACAAAGAATAGTAAGTATATACAGGTCCACATCCCTTCATCCGGAACCCTTGGGGCCAGTATTGTTTCGAATTTCAGATTTTTTTTAATTTCAGAATGATTCTCAATGTTGCCACATGGTGGCGTGACCCAGCACTGAGATGACTGACTCTCCACACTCCACGAAAAAACTTCAGTTTTCGGAGATTTTTGAATTTCAGAATTTCGGATAAAGGGATGTGGACCTGTGTCAGAATTATTTTTGTATGAGCTTTTATAAGACAATTAGGTGCAAATTTTACTTCCTCATTAAGATATCACCCAAGTTCTTCTAATTTACGGTGGTATTGACAGTGATGGAGTGAATGATGTAAGTGTTTCTTGTTTTTTGGGTCACCTGCCTCAGTGGGAAACATCTGATGTGTTAAAAAAAATGACATTCTTATTATAATATTCATAATGATGATAATACATATATCATAGACTGTCAGCCATTTAGATACACATAACAGCACAGAAGGCATAGTTCTACACCATGAGAGAAGTTAGTTTGTAGACAAACATCTTCCAGGGACATAATATCATCTTGTCATATGAGTGCAACTCAGAAACTGTTTAATGTTTTGCACTGGTAGGATTGCTGTTATTTTCTTTTTCTCATGAATACGTTATGTGATGGGTAAAGCTTTACAAATGTTTATTTACTCTTAGTAAATACTTTGCAATTACTAAATGCAAAAAGAAGAAATATGTTCATTTCATTTTTGGGTCACCCCGCCTCGGTAAATGACGACTCGTGTATTACAAAAAATATACTTTGCCTGTATGCTGCTTAATTTTTTTCATCACACTGGCCGTCTCCCACCGAGGCAGGGAGACCCAAAAAATAAATGAACATTTTTCTTCTTTTTACATTTAGTAATTTATACAGGAGAAGGGGTTACTAGCCCCTTGTTCCTGGCATTTTAGTTGCCTTTCATGACACACATGTGGCTTATGGAGGAAGAATTCTTCTCCACTTACCCATGGAGTTAATAATTCTCATTCTTTTAATATTTCCTTTCCAATTTATGAACCCTGATATCTATTAACAATTTTTTTTTAAACACTGGCTGAGGCAGGGTGACCTGAAATAGAAACACTTTCATTATCATTCACACTATCACTATCTTGCAAGTGATGGATATATATATGATAGTTTAGATGTCCCTCCAAACAGCAAACAACCCAAATCCCTCCTTTAGAGTTCAGGCACTGTACCTCTCACCGCCAGGACTTGAGTCTGGCTAACCAGTTTTCCTGAGTCCATTCACAAAATATTACATTGCTTACACTCAAACAGCTCATCAGTAATCCCTCAGCATCTTCCTTTCCAGTTTATTCCATCCCAATTTATCATGTAAGATCCACCTGTTGACACAATCAGACCAGATATTCTTCCATTTAAAATTCGTCATTATTGTGGTGACTATTCCTAGAGTCATTTACTGTATGTTGTTACTGATAGCCATTCTGTTGTGATGTGGTCCAGAAATTTTTTGTTGCTCACCAATGAAGTTATGACATTTTCGTCTATTTGTTGAATGAAGTCGTGTTCTTGGGAAGAAAGCAATATTTTCAGAAAGATTTGTGTAATTCTCTAATGTAAGTATACAGTGGTACCCCAAGTTTCAGCAATAATTCATTCCAGAAGGCTGTTCGAGTGCAGTTACCGAACGAATTTGTCCCCATAAGGAATAATGTAAATTAGATTAGTCCAACATGACTCATGTAATCGTAATGACACGATTGCAAACAAACCATACCAATGACTGGGATAGAACCCGCGATCAGAGAGTCTCAAAACTCCAGACTGTCGCGTTAGCCACTGGGCCAGCTAGCCACAATAAGATTCATCCAACTAGGTATTTCTACACCATAGAAATAGAAATATACCTAGTAGGTGTAGAAATATACCTAGTTGGATGAATCTTGTGGCTAGTTGGCCCAGTGGCTAACGCGACGGTCTGGAGTTTTGAGACTCTCTGATCGCGGGTTCTATCCCCATCCGTGGTATGGTTTAGATTAGTCCATTTCAGACCTCCAAAAATACACTTACAATAATACACTTACATAATTGTTCGAGTCGGGAGCTGTTCGAAACTTGGGGTACCACTGTACTTCCTTACTAGCAATGATCTTTTCACGGTACATTTTAGCAGCTTTGCGGAAACACTTTCAATCTCCTCAAACAACTTCTTTGTTGCCCAAGCTTGCTTAGAGTAGGGGTTCTCAGCCTGTGGTCCTGTGGACCCCTATAATTACTCACGATAAGGCTAATAAAGATAAACTTCAAAAGTTTTCAAAGCCATTTCTAAATCTGCAGGAATAGCCGAATTCCTTTAGACACTTTTTTTAAACTGTTGGTCGTACTTTATGAGTTGCCAAATTGAACATGCCAAACCTGGGGTCCGTGGGAAAATTTATTTAAATAAAAGGGGTCCTTGGTGGTGAAAAGGTTGGGAACCAGTACTTTAGAGCATGTGATTTGATGTCACCTTCCTAGGAGTCACAGTAGGTGTAGTAAATTAGCTTATAAATCTGACAAAACTGCATTAAAGGTAGGACTGTCAGAGAGTAGGCATGTCAGGGGTAAAGGAGAGGCAGAGAATTTGTCTAGAGACTCGGATGATATTGGTACAGTAAGTCCTTGACTTATGAACAAGTTGAGAATCTTCTATACTATATTATATTATTTTTTATATCTTTATTTCTTCAAGTATATGTACAAGATATACAGACCTAGCTGACATCAGTGACATACTACTATATAGAAAGCTGCTTGTTATGCTGAGCATTTCAGGCAAATTAGGTCAGTTTCATCCCAGGATGCGACCTACACCAGTCCACAAACACCCAGGTACCCATTTTATACTGATGGGTGAACAGGGACAGCAGGTGTCTTATGGAAACACGTCCCTAATGTTTTCCAGCCATACCCGAGATTCGAACTCTGGACCTCGGTATGTGAGCTAAGTACGCTAGCAATCCAGCTATGGAACACCTATTGTGTATAATATCATTATTGTTGATAATATAATTTTTATACGCAGTGCAGAAGGTCCCCAAATACAGAAGATTCTCAATGTGTTCGTAAATCAAGGACTTGGATAATGGTCCAGGATGGACCAGTATGTTATATACGTTCCATCTTCAGTTTGTGGGTTAGTTATGAAAAGGTAATAATAGTAGACTTATTGACAAAATGTTAGGCAAATGGGCATAGATGCAACAAATGTGACATTTTATTGTGGAAATATTTTGCTCTCCAGGAGCTTTGTGAAATTTGACAAAGCTCCTGAAGAGTGAAACGTTGCCACAATAAAATGTTCACATTAACTGCATTTGTGTCTATTTACCCAACATAGGAATGGCCTGACAGTTTTTAGTGGTATGCTGGTGGCCCCTTCTTGAAGTAACCATGTGAGTCTGGTGTGAGAAGTACACAGGTGCAAGACACAACCACCAATGATGAAGAGACGATGATCAGAAAGTTAATTGTGGTTTGATTTAAAATTCAAAAGCTTGTTGGTCGCTAATGAAGACCAGTGAAACTACAGTACTCTTGAGAATGCTGAGTTGGTACAAAAAATTAATCAGAAAAAGCCTGCTTCAGGAAACCGAGGGAGTGAATGTACTCAGATATTTAGGAGAGAACTTTTCAGCAGATGGGTCTATGAATGATGAGGTGAATGGGTATGTATAGGACTTACATATAGGGTTTGCTGCTCTCTGTGGTTTCAGTATCTGCAGCAGGTCCTTAGAACTTACCCTCCATGGATATGGGGTCCTACTTTATGTGGTGGAGCCCGGCCTGTCCCCCAGGTCTACTTGAGAGTGAGAGAGAGGCCTGTAAGGGATGGCCTACATGTGGGGTACAAACGGGGATCACATGACTTGAGGCTTGACCAGGGAGCCTGCCTAACTGGAGCTATATACTATACAAGTATTGCTCTGTTGACATTGGTGGAAGATGCCAATTTGTTAAAAAGAATATATCAAATTATCTAACAGTGACAAAACACTGTAATGGCCCCACCATGTACAGGAGTCTGTCTCTGGTCCAGATTGGAAATCACAAGAATAAGAAATATTAAAATTATTTCTGAGGTATGGGTGGTGAATGTTGCAACAAGGAGAAGGCTGGAGGCATTGGAGATGTCATGTCTGAGGACAATGTGTGGTGTGAATATAATGCAGAGAATCTGTAGTTTAGAGATTAGGAGGAGGTGTGGGATTACCAAAACTATTATTCAGAGGGCTGAGGAGGGGTTATTGAGATGGTTAGGACATGTAGAGAGGATGGAACGAAATAGAATGACTTCAAGAATGTATAGATCTATAGTGGAGGGAAGGCAGGATAGGGGTTGGCCTAGGAAAGGTTGGAGGGAGGGGGTAAAGGAGGTCTTGTGTGCAAGGGGCTTGTACTTTCAGCAAGCATGCTTGAGCATGTTAAATAAGAGTGAATGGAGACAGATGGTTTTTAGGACTTGACATGCTGTTGGAGTGTAAGCAGGGTAACATTTATGAAGGGATTCTGGGAAACCAGCAGGCCAGACTTGATTCCTGGAGATGAGAAGTACAGTGCCGACACTCTGAAGGAGGGGTGTTAATGTTGCAGTTTTATAATTACAGTGTAAGCATGCCTCTGGCAAGATAGTGATGGAGTGAATGATGATGGAAGTTTTTCTTTTTCGGGCCACCCTGCCTTGGTGAGAAACGACTGATGTGTTAATAAATAAAAAAAATAAATTTTCAGACTAAGTGCTAAACTCATAGGGGTCAAGCAGTGCCTGGGAAATGGGAGGTAATCAGGCTTGATCCAAGGAAGGGGAGAATAGTGCCATTTCCTTTTATCAAGAGTCTCTAACTAGCATTTAAAGTAGACCCACTAGCTGTACCTTTGAAAGTACAGTGGTACCTCAGGTTACGAACTTAATTCATTCCAGAAGGCTGTTCGAGTACCGTTACCGAACGAATTTGTTCCCATAAGGAATAATGTAAATTAGATTAGTCCATTTCAGTCCCCCAAAAATACACTTACATTATTGTTCGAGTTGGGAGTTGTTCAAAACTCGAGGTACCACTGTACCTGTAGTCAAAGTACAGTGGACCCCCGGTTAACGATATTTTTTCATTCCAGAAGTATGTTCAGGTGCCAGTACTGACCGAATTTGTTCCCATAAGGAATATTGTGAAGTAGATTAGTCCATTTCAGACCCCCAAACATACACGTACAAACGCACTTACATAAATACACTTACATAATTGGTCGCATTCAGAGGTAATCGTTATGCGGGGGTCCGCGGGGGTCCACTGTATAATGGATATTTCTTGTGTCGATGGAATTTTTGGCTATGATGCTTCACTGTTTTGCTCTGCAGTGCTCTCACTGAATATAGGTAGTCTCGAGTTTACTCAATATGCTCTGCACATTAACCCTTAAACGGTCCAAACGTATATATACATTTTTTCAACATTTGAAAGTATGTAAAAAATGTACATTATTTTTTTTTTACATTTGAAAATGTGTAAAAAAATGTTTATCTACAATTTTTTTTTCTTGTTATATTAGAAAATTTGTAAAAAAAACATAGATCTACTTTGGGAGCACTACAAATTTGAACGTTGATCTATTTGGACCGTTTACGGGTTAAGGAACTTTCGGCATGCACACCTCAATGAAATTCACCTTTGTACAAAGATTGTATCATGCCAAAATAAAGTATCTTCATCTTTATTTCTCTGCCTTTGTACATTTCTTATATTACCCGTCTCTTGCTGTGTACTGAATTTTCTCGTTTGTTCATAATAAGGCACTCTTCTCTCTCTTCCATGCATTATTTATTATTATCCACACTTTGGAGAGAAAACTGTGAGTGACATTTCTGTCCATCCTTGATAATTATCAAGTTGTGAGTGAGTGAAAAGAACATAAAGACCAGAAGACAGAGGAAGGAGACAAAGAGAGAGCCAATAGAAAGGTCAGGTGATGAGGTGAGGAGAAAAAAAGCCAGTGTTCAAGATGGGCTCAAACATTGTCTACAGTTTCCTCTCCATATTGTGACTTGTTCCTGCCACGATATTTTGATTTGTAATCTTCGAGAAATTACTAGTAGAATCCAGATAGCTGTATAGGAGGGCCCCTTTATATACAATAGGGCCCCCATATATACAGGAGGGCCCCCATATATACAATAGGGCCCCCATATATACAGGAGGGGCCCCCATATATACAGGAGGGCCCCCCATATATACAGGAGGGCCCCATATATACAGGAAGGTCCCCATATATACAGCACCTTCTTGTCAGCATTACGTGTTTTCACTGTTATGTTTCACTCGCCAGTGATAGTCACCAGCAAGTGGAACATTGGCTAAGTTAAAAGCCAATGGAAACATGGAACGCTGAAAATAGGCGCTGTAAATGCGGAGGCTTCGTGTATGCACATGTGAAACTCTGTGAATAGTGATTTATTTGCTACTTAATGTAAATAAGGTACTGTCTATAGAAGATAAGGAATAAATTTAATGCATGATAGTAGTATGTTCTGTCTTTCAGGCAAGCGGTATTGCCACATGTTGGTGCGTGAGGGAGTGGATGACGTTCTTCGGAAATTAGTTGCATTACCCCACTCTAACACTTGCGTGCGAGAACTAGCCGAGAAAGTCGTTGATGTACTCCAGGAAAACGGATACACCAAGGAACTATAATATAAGGACATAGTATTAGGAAAAACAATCATCTTGTATAAGATAATATGTTTGCTGTTGTATTGTATGGATTCTGTTTCTTCTCTTATATATTATTCTCATTCTAATTTCTTTTCTTATACACCTACCATCCGACTTACGACCACTCGACTTACGACCGTGTTTTTTATGCCAAATTTCTGGGAAATAAACAACTATTTGTGTTGTACACAGTGTTTATCCTAAACCTTACAGTATAAAATACAGTACTAACAACATAAAAAGTAAAGTAAAACATGAAATTCCAAAATAAAACAATAAAATAGTCATTACAAAAATGTTTTGTTGATATTCAGTAGTAAAGTTCGACTCACAACTATTTCGACTTAAGACCGGTTTCTCGGAACCGAACTCGGTCGTAAGTCGGATGGTAGGTGTATTTACCTTGAAAGTATTTTTACCGAAGATATAATCCCACTTGTGGAGTGAAGGTAAAAATAAAATAATGGAATTTAACCAAAAATTTAATCTGTGTTATCAATGCATTTGCATGAAATTGGGTTACATATGTATGTACATATTGACTACATGAACACTAATATATTATCTATATTTTACTTTATATTATCATATCGGCTGTTTCCCACTGAATCAATAACCCGAAGAGGAACTGATTTACTGTTATTTACTTCTTAGTTGTTTTTTAGATGTGCACGGACATTACAGTCCAAAACACAAATAGTACGTACATAGGAAGGAGTGTGAGCAGGGTAATATTTTGCGAAGGGAGTCAGGGAAACCGGTTAGCCGGACTTGAGTCCTGGAGGTGGGAAGTATGTACAATGCCTGGGATATTGGCTGTTTGGTGTGATATCTAAACTGTTGTATCTGAGACCTGCAAAGACAGTGATTGTATATGAATGATGGTGAAAGTGATTGAAGGTCTTTCTTTTTGGGTCACCCTGCCTCGGTGGGAAACGGCCGACGTGTTAAAAAAAAAAATATCTTTTATTTATAAGATAATACATAGATACATAATTTCAAATCAGTTTGGCTTGTTTAAGCGTCTTAAAAATAAGCATGGCCTATGCTGCATTTATATAAAAATTTGAAGAACAAACAGGCACAATACCATGACTGGAACAATACACAAATAACCTGCACGTAAGAGAGAGAAGCTTATGACAACGTTTTGGCCCGACTTGGACTGACTGTAAATGGCCCAAGTTGGACCAAAATATCATTGAAACTTCTCTCTCTCCTATGTGCGGGTTATTTGTCTATAAAAAAATTTGTTTTGATCTAAACTGGCCAAATTTAATATATCTGTTCCACCCATTTTATTTAAGATTAGCCTGTAATCAAAGCAGTGTGATTTAACACATGAAAATTTTGAAATGCTTTGACGAATTTTTGTGGAGATTCAAATTCAATTCAAAGTTTATTCTCTATAAGGATTACACATGACCATAACACAAGGCACAGATCACTCTTTGATGTTCCTCGTGTCCATCTCACGCTATGCAAAAACTCAATGCACATAAAAGGCCCTAAAATCTGGAATTCATTACCTGTAAATATGAAAGAAACACTACCTGTTTATAAATTCAAGTCTTCTCAAAGATCACTTACTCACCCAAAACCAAATAAATACTGAATAACTGAACCTTATAATTTTTTTTTTTTTTTTTTTTTCAACAAGTCGGCCGTCTCCCACCGAGGCAGGGTGACCCAAAAAAAAAGAAAGAAAATCCCCAAAAAGAAAATACTTTCATCATCATTCAACACTTTCACCACACTCGCACATTATCACTGTTTTTGCAGAGGTGCTCAGAATACAACAGTCTAGAAGCATACACATATAAAGATACACAACATATCCCTCCAAACTGCCAATATCCCAAACCCCTCCTTTAAAGTGCAGGCATTGTACTTCCCATTTCCAGGACTCAAGTCCGACTATATGAAAATAACCGGTTTCCCTGAATCCCTTCACTAAATATTACCCTGCTCACACTCCAACAGATCGTCAGGTCCCAAGTACCATTCGTCTCCATTCACTCCTATCTAACACGCTCACGCACGCTTGCTGGAAGTCCAAGCCCCTTACCCACAAAACCTTCCTTTACCCCCTCTCTCCAACCCTTTCGAGGACGACCCCTACCCCGCCTTCCTTCCCCTATAGATTTATATGCTTTCCATGTCATTCTACTTTGATCCATTCTCTCTAAATGACCAAACCACCTCAACAACCCCTCTTCTGCCCTCTGACTAATACTTTTATTAACTCCACACTTTCTCCTAATTTCCACACTCCGAATTTTCTGCATAATATTTACACCACACATTGCCCTTAAACAGGACATCTCTACTGCCTCCAACCGTCTCCTCGCTGCTGCATTTACCACCCAAGCTTCACACCCATATAAGAGTGTTGGTACTACTATACTTTCATACATTCCCTTCTTTGCCTCCATAGATAACGTTTTTTGACTCCACATATACCTCAATGCACCACTCGCCTTTTTTCCCTCATAAATTATAAATTATAAATTGTATATCTTAAATGTTTCTCACAATTATATCACATAAATGTTAAACCTAAAACCCAATCTAACTTTATTTTTTTTTAATACACTACCTAACAGAATACTCCATACGACTGAATGTACAACAATGCATGCAACCATATGACCTGTCTTTGTAATACTCATTTGTGCTTTATAGTTATCTGTTTACAATAATGTATTATCACTGATTTCATCATTGCTTAGTTAATTTTAAGCCAGCCCGAAATGCTATGCATAGTATAAGTGGCTTTGGCATGCTGCTCTTATCTGTATTTTTTTGTACCTCTGTATGTGTGCTCAAATTGTAAATAAATAAATAAATAAATAAATGCTGAGTTTACAGAATTTGGTTATTGTGTGGTTTACATGTAGTAAAATAATAATTACAGAGTGTACCACTAGAACACCTAGCATGGCTAGGCATTTCGGGCAGACTTAAATTAAATCTTAACCCTTTGACTGTTTTCGACGTATAAATACGTCTTACGAGTCCAATGTTTCTGACGTATATATACTCAATAATTCTAGCGGCTTCAAATCAAGCGGGAGAAAGCTGGTAGGCCCACATGTGAGAGAATGGGTCTGTGTGGTCAGTGTGCACCACATAAAAAAAATCCTGCAGCACACATTGCGTAATGAGAAAAAAAAAACTCTGATCGTTTTTTTGGAATAAAACGCCGACTTTGAGGTGTATTTTCGTATAGTATTTATCGTTTTATTCGCGTTTTCATGGTCTTAGGTGATAAAATGGAAAATATATTACAGAAATAGAGATGATTTTCATTACTTTTACGATGAAAACGACCTTGAAACTGAGCTCAAAGTAGCGGAAATGTTCGATTTTTACCAATGTTCAAGAGTAAATAAATCACACCACACGTCCAATACACGTCAACTGGGGAGTCTAATATTCTTTCACTAGTGCACTGATATTATTTATACCATTTTTACAATAATGCAGTCGTCTGCATAACAGTAAATATTGTATTTTTTTGTATGAATAAAAAATCAAAATAGAAAGCAATAATAATATAAGAGGGGCCTAGAGATGTGACTAATGAACAGAGCATATGTTATTTTAGTGCCACGAATGTCTATCTTGTTTATTCTGGACCCTATTTTAAAACTGGCATCTTTTTTAGTTTGCGTGAAATTGGCCAAATTGCCAATTTCTGACCACCATATTGGGTAGTCCAAATTAGTAAATGGGAGGTTTCTTGTACTCAGCTGATAGATAAAATGGAGTTCTAAAGAAATAGCTATGAGTTTGGTCAACTGGAACAATGGAATTGGCTAAAATAGGGCTCAAAGTCGGCGAAATCGCCGATACGCATATGTCGCAGAAACCGCTAACTTCGCGGGAGCATAATTCCACGAGTTTTCGACCAAATTTCGAACTTTGGTGTCATTACCATCGGGAAAAGATTCTCTATCATTTCATAAGAAAAAATAATTTTTTTTTTTTCAAAAATTGAGCGACATAGAATGACAGTTTCAGAGAGGGGCCTGAAACAGTCAAAGGGTTAAGTTTAAAATATTACAAAATTATGAGGTAAGTTGGTATTATGGCTAAGTGACTAAATACTAGTTTGTGAGTTTAGCAATGTGAATGCTTTTGTTTTGGCACTATACACAGTTTCAGTATTGGAGTATCACAGGCCAACTTGTGACTAGTTAAGATTCATTATTTTGAGATTGAGATTAATATTTCTGTTTATGGTCAAATGGGTGAGTGAGTGTAAGTGTGAACCACCAGGTGGTATTCGTATTATTAGTTGACAGGGTGTATCAGGGAGATAAGATGTTTTCTGATGGTAGTTTTGAAGGTGATGAATGTGTCTGCAGTTTTAGAATTTTCAGGTAGGGTATTCCAGATTTTAGGGCCTTTGACATACATTGAATTTTTGTAAAGGTTTAGTCGGACACGGGGAATGTCATAGAGATGTTTGTGTCTGGTGTTGTGCCTGTGGGTTCTGTCACAACTATCAAGAAAGCATTTTAGGTCAAGGTTAATATTGGAATTTAAGGTCCTGTAGATGTAGATTGCACAGTAGTGAGTGTGGATTTACTGAACAGGGAGTAAGTTTAGATCTATGAAGAGTGGGGGGGTGTGTTGCCAGGGATGGGATTTAGTGATTATTCTTACTGCGGCTTTTTGTTGGGTTATTATTGGCTTTAGGTGTGTTGCTGCAGTTGAACCCCAAGCACAGATAGCATAGGTGAGGTATGGATATATAAGTGAATGGTATAGTGTGAGAAGGGCAGTTTGCAGCACGTAGTATCGTATCTTGGAGAGGATCCCAACCGTTTTGGATACTTTTTTGGTTATGTGTTGGATATGGGTGCTGAAGTTCAGGTTGTTGTCGAGGTATAGGCCTAGGAATTTGCCCTCATTATGCCTGGCAATTAGAGTGTTGTCGATCTTAATGTTAATTTGCGCATCTCCTGCTCTGCTACCAAACATAATGTAGTAGGTTTTTGTCAGTGTTAAGTGTAAGTTTATTCGCTGTCATCCAAGTCAATATTTTGATCAGCTCCTCATTAACAATGGTGTTGAGGGTGGCAAGATTAGGGTGAGAGATGACATAAGTCGTGTCGTCAGCAAAGAGAATGGGGTTCAGGTGTTGAGATACGTTTGGAAGATCATTGATGTATATGAGGAAGAGCAGGGGACCAAGGACACTTCCCTGCGGAACTCCAGTATCAAGTGGCTGTGTTGTTGATGCTGTGTCTTTAATGGTGACATACTGATACCTATTAGTAAGGTAAGATTTGAAATATGCAAGCGCATGGCCTCTTATACCATAATGGTCAAGTTTGTGGAGTAGAATGCCGTGGTCTACTGTGTCAAAAGCTTTTCTTAGGTCAATAAAAATTCCTAGTGGATATTCCTTATTTTCCAATGCTGTGTAAAGCAGATCTAGCATTTTTATGATTGCATCGTTAATGCTTTTATTTTTCCTGAATCCAAATTGGCAGGGGTTGAGTATGTTTTGTGCCGTTATAAATTAATATAGTCTCCTGTGCACGAGTTTCTCAAAGATTTTGGATAGCAATGGTAAGTTTGATATTGGCCTATAGTTGTTTAAATCTGTAGGGTCACCACCTTTATGTATTGGTGTAACCCTTGCCGTCTTGAGTAGTTTCGGGAAGGTGCTAGTTTCTAGTGACTTGTTAAAAAGTAATGAGATAGCATGCGAAAGGATATGGGCTGCTCGCTTGTACAATAGTGGTGGGACATGAGACAGATTCCCTGAGTTATTTTTAAGTGACTTTATAATCTCGGTGACTTCCGTGGGCTCAGTTGGAGCAAGATAGAAGGAATTTGGGAAATTCCCATCTAGGTAGTCCCTGGCATGGGCATTGGTACGTGGGATTTTATTGGCGAGATTAGATCCTATGGTTGAGAAGAAGTCGTTTATCTTGTTAGCTGTGTCAGTGGGATGTAGTGGTGTTTCATTAGGTTTAGTTAGGACAATATTCTTGGTTTTTTTCAGTTTGTGGGTCCCTAGAATCTGAGTGTTTTCCAGGTCTTTTTTATATCTCCACTAGTGTCTGTGAATCTACTGGAGTAGTATAGTTGTTTGGCTTTCTTTATTACTTTGGTGAGGACTGATGAATAGTGTTTAAAAATATCTTTGTGTATTGGGCCCTGTCTATATTGCTTTTCATATTGGTGTTTCTTGTCAATGGATTTCAGAATGGTGCTGGTTAGCCATGGGCAACCAAGCCGTTTGTTTGTGATCTGTTTCGTTTTTATAGGACAATGTTTGTTGTATAGTCTAAGTAATTTGTTAAGAAAAATGTCTGTCCAGTCATCAATACCATTGGCCTTGGAGAATTCTGTAGGCCAGTCAACAGTCTCTAGGTCAGCTGTGAACTTCCTAATTGAGGCCTCATCATAGTCTAAATGAAACTTTGTTGTATTCCAGTGGTGGTTTACTAATGTTCGTCAAGAGAAAGGTAGGGTAGTGGTCTGTAGTGCTATCTGTGATTATCCCTGATTCAAGGGGGGCTAGTATATTGGTCCATATGTGGTCTATTATGGTTGCACTTGTTTCAGTGAGCCTGGTTGGTTTAGTTATTGTTGGTATGAGAAGTGTTCATATTGTTGATGAAATCAGTTACAGGCTGATCATCTAGTATGCCAAGGTTGATGTTGAAGTCTCCAGCTAAGAGAAGGTGGTGCTTATTCATTTGTCTGTTTGTTATTAGTGCCTTTAATTTCTCACTGAAACTTGGGATGTTTGTGTGGGGTATCCGGTAAATGGCACCGATTGTTATAGGCGTCTTAAGTTTTTTTACAGTAAAATTAGCAAAAATATATTCTCCATATTCATCACTAAAGCAAGTGGTGCTAATACAAGATAATTGGTTAGAGTAATAGATTGCAATACCACCCCCAACTTGGTATGGTCTGCAGTTGTGGATTGCTGTGTATCCTGGTAGAGGGTAGATATCTATTGTGTCCTACTTAAGCCAGGTCTCAGTAAGAATAATGCAGGAGAAGGGTGTCTTTAGTGATTCAAGGAGTGCTAGGAGGTCATCATAGTGTTTGCTTAAGGACCTGATGTTGTAGTTAAGAACTGATAGACTTTTAGCATTGTTTAGGATAGTGCTGGCTTGTGATGCTGTGTAATAAAGGCAGTTACTTTCCAATAGGTTTTGGTTGTGTGTCAGATTATGGAGGTTTAGATCAGGGTCAACGTGATCAATCATCTTCTAGGTTTAAATTATAGTTATTTATATCCTGAGTTGTGTGTTGAGTTTTAGTACTGATATCTGTAGTGGTGGGAAGTTTGGACAAGTATATAGCTATAGCATTTTGGTCTTGTAGAGTATAGTCACTAATACACATAATGGAGTTGGTGTTGTCTATGTGTTGTGATTTGTCTGGCAAAACAAAAATTTCTTTGTAACAATATCTGGAAGTTCTGGTGAAACCTTAACATATATATATCTTTCTTTCTTTCAACACACCGGCCGTATCCCACCGAGGCGGGGTGGCCCAAAAGGAAAAACGAAAGTTTCTCCTTTTACATTTAGTAATATATACAGGAGAAGAGGTTACTAGCCCCTTGCTCTCGGCATTTTAGTTGCCTCGTACAACACGCATGACTTACGGAGGAAGAATTCTGTTCCACTTCCCCATGGAGGTAAGGAAATAAACAACAAGAACAAGAACTAGTAAGAAAATATTAGAAAACCCAGAGGGGTGTGTATATATATGCTTGTACATGTATGTGTAGTGTGACCTAAGTGTAAGTAGAAGTAGCAAGACATACCTGAAATCTTGCATGTTTATGAGACAGAAAAATGGACACCAGCAATCCTACCATCATGTAAAACAATTACAGGCTTCCGTTTTACACTCACTTGGCAGGACGGTAGTACCTCCCTGGGCAGTTGCTGTCTACCAACCTAACATATATATATTTTTTTTTTTTTTTTTAACAAGTCGGCCGTCTCCCACCGAGGCAGGGTGACCCAAAAAAGAAAGAAAATCCCCAAAAAGAAAATACTTTCATCATTCAACACTTTCACCACACTCGCACATTATCACTGTTTTTGCAGAGGTGCTCAGAATACAACAGTCTAGAAGCATACACATATAAAGATACACAACATACCCCTCCAAACTGCCAATATCCCAAACCCCTCCTTTAAAGTGCAGGCATTGTACTTCCCATTTCCAGGACTCAAGTCCGACTATATGAAAATAACCGGTTTCCCTGAATCCCTTCACTAAATATTACCCTGCTGACACTCCAACAGATCGTCAGGTCCCAAGTACCATTCGTTCCTATCTAACACGCTCACGCACGCTTGCTGGAAGTCCAAGCCCCTTACCCACAAAACCTCCTTTACCCCCTCTCTCCAACTGAGGTAGGGTGACCTGAAAAAGAAACACTTGTGCCATCATTCATGCTATCACTGTCTTCCCAGAGTGCACAGATATGACAGTTTAGATGTCCCTCTAAAGAGCAGATATCTCTAACCTCTCCTTTAGAGTACAGACACTGTACTTCGCACCTCCAGAACTTAAGCCCGTACATTTCCGTATATACAGTGTACTGCTTATGTTTGTAGGTTTGTATGCAAACCATCCAGAATAATACTAACATATTGGAAGAGGGTTGTGAAGCCAGCCTATTACTGTATTTTACAGCATATAAGACGTGCATTTTTTTCCACAAAAAGTCATGGAAAATCAGCCTGCACCTTATATGCTCAAGGTGAGGGTCAGAGGTAGGCTTTGGGTAGCGCTTTAGCAGTTTACTAATGTTACATTACAACTGCTTGGCAACAACATCTTATGTCTTATATTCTCATGCACCTTATATGCAGAAAATACAGTAGTTACTTTGTACTTGGGCATAAATAACTTCTGTCATTTTCTGTCTAATGTAGGTGATGACAGGTGCATCTGACATGACTACTGGTTTTTTTATCAAAAAAATGACAGGTGTATCTGACATGACCTCTGGTGTTTTTAATCATAAAAACATGATGACAGGTGAATCTTCCAAACGTGAAGTTTGGAAAATTCAGTGGTACCTTGAGTTATGAACTTAATTCGTTCCAGAAGGCTGTTTGAGTGCCGATACTGAGCGAATTTGTTTCAGCAGGGAATAATGTAAATTAGAGTAGTCCATTTCAGATCTCCAAAAATACACTTAAAAAAGCACTTACACAAGCATTTACAAAAATACACTTACATAATTATTGGAGTTGGGAGCTGTTCGAAACTCAAGGTACCACTATACAATGTACTTTATACACTTTACTTTCGTTTGTTTTTCTCAATATATTTGTTTTTATTCTATTAATGCATCATTTTCACAAACACTAGAAATTAGTTATGGTATCATTTTGTTACATAGTCAGCTGTCTTATGAAAGTTTTATGCAGTATGTTTTTTTGTAAACACGGTTGAAAAAGGAACTTCAAATTTGAATAGCCTTTTCATGCACTCTTAAGTTTTGGATATAGTTTTTCAATCTTTCTTTCAACACACCAGCCGTATCCCACCGAGGCGGGGTGGCGCAAAAGGAAAAATGAAAGTTTATCATTTTACATTTAGTAATATATACAGGAGAAGGGGTTACTAGCCCCTTGCTCCCGGCATTTTAGTCGCCTCTTACAACATGCATGACTTACGGAGGAAGAATTCTGTTACACTTCCCCATGGATATATTATATTATATATGTATATACAGTGGACCCCCGGTTAACGATATTTTTTCACTCCAGAAGTATGTTCAGGTGCCAGTACTGACCGAATTTGTTCCCATAAGGAATATTGTGAAGTAGATTAGTCCATTTCAGACCCCCAAACATACACATACAAATGCACTTACATAAATACACTTACATAATTGGTCGCATTCGGAGGTGATCGTTTTGCGGGGGTCCACTGTATATGTATATACACACATGCACACAGAAATTAAACTTTTTTGTTGATGTATTTAACATTACATACTTTTATTTATGTGAGCATTTTTCTTGGTAATTAATGGGTTACACATTGTTTTATGTATTTTACAAGTGAAGAACAGCCATATGAGTTTAGAAACTCAAAGAATTTGTTACAAGCCACAAATCAGGGAGGAAAATTTTACACCCTATTTTGGTCAGTCCTGGACTTGATTTCACTCGCAGGTTAATGATGGGACAATAAACTGCCTTTCCTCTCTGAATTGTAGGCTTAAGAAGTGTTCCATGGCTGGAACACTTCATAAGCGTGAATTTTGTGAATTTTATTCTTCATAAAGAATGCTCCTAGTGTTATTATCTGACATGATAATGGCTATTAAAACACCAATGATTCCAAGGTTTATGAGGGACTAGAATGGACTGCCACTGTTTATAAATATTTCTATGGATCATATACGCTAGTGCTGTATGACCCCTTGCTAGCTGCATGCTTTAATTGATTATATTATAATTAATATCATTTATTATTATTACTATTAGCATTAACACCTTTGTGTATTATGCAGTAGTGTTGTGTATACATAATCTTTTGTGCACACATTGGTACTGGCAGAACTGAGTTGACCTTGGAAGATTGTGTTCTTCATGATTCATTTTTTAATCCTCTATGCTCAATCATGTCCCTCATCTTATGGTACTTCTCCTATAATCATGTTCTCATCTTTATCCAACATGTGTTTCTCATTTTATGATTCCTCTCCTCCTATAATCGTGTTCTCATCCTTATCCAACATGTTTTCTCCATGTTTCCCTCCTCACATGTCATCTTACTTGTCTCACATTTTCCCATCAAAGGATGTATAGTACCATGTGTGTGTTTTTTCATTTAATATTAAGTTTGCAAGTTCCTAACTCCCACAGGATTGATTAACTGGCCTGTGCCTTGTGACTCTTTGCTCTCTAGTAGAACGTTAGGTCCTCATTCGGAAGACCCAGGTTCCGTTAGATATTATTTCGCTAGCAGGTTTGTCTTTGTGGTCATTCTGACCACCTAGCTATACATAATTTGTCACTATCTGTTTGAAATGGATATTTTTTGTGTGTGAAAGAGTGTAGGGACTTATGTTCAAGTCTCTCTACACCTACTGACATGAGGTCTAACAGTAAATAGGCACCTAGGTGTTACTTGACTTGTAGGTCACATTTTGGGAAAGAGGATAAAGGATTCCCCTCACTGCTTGATCTTCTGGGATAATTCTCGGTCATTAATAAGTAAAAGGAAATGTTTCTGTCCACAACCCATGTTCCTCTGTAGGGTACCAATGTACATACCATGTACCAGATTGCTGAGGTGCGATTTTTACACAGCAACATTCACAACTCTTCATTTTTCCCCTCTCTCAAACATGTACCCAGTTGCTAAGATCCATTTCCCTCATTGTATTTATTGTAAAAATCTCTATTAAGTTCTTTAAAATGAGTTCCTAATTTGACCTTTATATAGTTTTTCACAAACCCATATTTTACATGCAGATATTTATTTTACATTACTGTCAGTGGAATGCTTTCCATCTGAACAAAAAACTAATGGAAAAATAAATAAAGAAATGACTAGGAAAAATAAGAATAATGACTTGAGGATTTTACTTAAAATTTAAATATAATAAAAAAAATGTAGTGTAAAGCACCCTTCTGGCAAGACAGTGATGGAGTGAATGATGGTGAAAGTTTTTCTTTTTCGGGCCACCCTGCCTTGGTGGGAATCGGCCAGTGTGATAATAAAAAAAAAAATAAAAATAAAAAAAAATGGCCTTTGGTTCTTGTAGTTGGGCAGGAGTAGGTAAGGCCCTGGACAGATCTTCTGATATTAAAGATGATGTAGGTTATCCTGGGCAGATGGTGATAGTCCGATGTTTTCGAATCTCCTCTACCACTTGGCTGAAGCACCACAAGTAGAATAAATAAGGGCCGGTAGTAGTCTAATAATTGTTAATAAATCCCATTAACAAATGTCTTGCTCCTTTATCTGGCGTCTACCCTGGATGACCACGCCAGGAACAGAGCTGGTAATAAGAAAAAATAAACTGGTTACCAATGGTCATGATAATATAACATTTAAGAATGGAAAAGTGATAAATGCCAAAATCATTATTGGTAACCAGCAAACAAAAGAAAGGAATAAACGGTAATACTCCTGATAGATCACCCTACCTGATTAGAAGAGTGGAGTGACTCTCCAAACTTCAACCCACACCAGGTATGGTCAATACTACCAAGAGTAGAAATTGAAACAAATCAGACACCAAGAACTAGTTTCGCCTCAGCCGCCAGAGAGGGGGGGGGGGTGCGCGACGTAACTCGCTAATGGTTCCTGGTTGCCTGAACAACCCTAACCCCACTCACGCCTACTTTTCCCTCACAATTACAGTATAATTTTTAACACACCGACCATCTCCCACTGACGTAGGGTGACCCGAAAAAGAAACACTTGCCATCACTCGCTCCATTACTGTCTTGCCAGAGGCATGTTGACATTACAGCTCATATGCCCCTCCAAACTGTAATATCGCCATCCCTTCTTCCAAGTGCAGGCACTGTACTTCTCACCTCCAGGACTAAAGTCTGGCTAACTAGTTTCCCTGAATCCCTTCGTAAATGCTACATTGCTCACACTCCAACAGCGTGTCCAGTCATAAAAACCACTTGCCTCCACTTACTCCTATCTAACACGCTTACACTTACCTGTTGGATGTCCAAGCCCCTCACTTACAAAACCTCCTTTACTTCTTCTCTCCAACCTAATTACACCAAAATTTTTTGCTGTAATTATATTTTATAATGCACCTCATTTTTTTTCACACAGCAATTCCTCATTATCAGCCTTATTAACTGGACTCTCATATCTTTACTGGGTGCAGAGAGGCTCCTAAGCAAAGCATAATATAAATTATTAAAATAAAAATAAATTGAATTGGTGTAATCATTATTGTTCTTACCATCCCCAGGTTTAGTTATGTTGTTTTGTCAATAGTGAACCGGCAATTTACACTTGAAAAATCAGATACAGTAGAACCCCGATATCCGTGGATTTGGTTTCTGTGGTTTATCACACGGTTTACTGTGGCCCAAAAATAATCCTTAATTTTGCTTAATAATGGCCCCAAAGCACTGTAGTAGTATTGCTGGCAGATCTTCAAAACCTTAGAGAAGCCGTGAAGAACAGTTGCCATCCGACTTACGACAGCTTGGTTCCAACCAACCAGTCGTAAGTCAAAATGGACGTAAGTTGAATCTTAGAAAATTGCTGGTAGGGATGCTTCAAAAATTAAATCTTAATCTTGTAAAGCAATCATTCTTTTATGTTTGTTGTGAAAATCACTTCAATCTGTTCATTATTATTGATTGGTTTTCACAAAATAGGCGAATAACTTACTTCCGAGATAATAGCCGTGCATCTGGCAGCCCTGCTGCCAGATGCACGGTCGTAAGTCAAGTGGTCGTGTGGCACGCAGGTCGTAAGTCGGATGGTGAGTGTACTTCCCATCAGTGAAAAAGTGCCAGTTCTCGACTTGTGTGTATTTTGTCAATTAAACTTTATCATAGGACTGGTTTCAAACGGTTTCGTTGTGCACCACCTAGCAGGTTATTAATAGAATATTCAAGAGGTTGCTAGTAGAATTGCAGTAAATCAACCATTCAAATCATTATGAAGCTGTGTGTAGTCTGTGGTCAGTCAAACAAACGGGCTTCCACATGCATAAATTGTCATTTCTGTGGAAATTGGTGTCACGCCCCTTGTGCAGATATCCAAGAACTAGCTACAAGCAGTATTAAAACAGGGAAGTGTTTTTGGGTATGCCCAAATGAGATAAATCTGTGGACTAAAATCACAAGGGTATTAAAAGAGGTCAACATCAAAGCTGCTTTCATAGAAAACCTGGAAGCTTTCTACAACAGATGGGAACATAAAAAGTCCGGCTGAATGGTACTGCCCTTGATACTGGCCATGTAGTCAGAAACTGTAAGGCTGGAGATGATGTCCTGGTAGTCAGTAAATGGGGGGCTGATAGTGCTGTCCTGGGAGACAGTAATGGGGAAGCTGGAGGTGCTGTCCTGGGAGACAGTAATGGTGAAGCTGGAGGTGCTGTCCTGGGAGACAGTAATGGTGAAGCTGGAGATGCTGTCCTGGGAGACAGTAATGGGGAAGACTGGAGATTACTGTCCTGGGAGACAGTAATGGTGAAGCTGGAGATTTTGTCCAGGTAGTCGGGAATTATACGCAGGAAGGAATACATATGAATGACCTCATAGGGGACAGGAGCCATAGTAGGGAAACAAGTGTAGTCAAAGATAAGATAAAAACAATATTGCAAACTAGAAATACCGCAGGAAATAGCAAACAAGAGGACTCCACTAGCAATAGTGAGGATATATTACCAAAAAACAAATGGTGGGAGCTCCATTGTTGGTGCTAGGGAGGATAGAAGTAAGACAGGGAAACATGCACCAACAGGGAATACAGTCACAGAAACCCAAGGCAAACGGAAACCAAGCCTGTGCACATACTATGCACTCGGTATCTGCTGGCATGGGAAATCTGGAAAAAACAGATGGGACGTGCAACTATGACCACCTAGGAAATGCCATGCCCATATGACAACAGGAAAATGCAAACTCCCTTCCTGTAAGCTTTTTCACCCTGAACTGTGTACCTCTTCAGTACAGGAAAGACTGTGCTATAACTTAAATTGCCAGGCATACCATCTAAGGGGACAAAAAGATACAAAACATCCAGGCCATGGGAAAACCTGGTAGCCACAGCCACTCAAGAGGGAGAGGTTTTTTAGTGCTAGGAAGGAAAAAAAACTGGCAGGAAATGGCAGAAATAGTACACCAAATCCAGTCATTCCTGGAGTGGAACCACAGTCGATGGCCTCCACTCCAAACCAACAGATACAGATACTAATGCCGGAAAAAAAAATCCCCCCCCAGTACCAACAATACCACCAGTCCGATAACATTCTTCTTTGCAAATATACAGTGTCTAAAGCCAGCAACAAACAACAAAATACCTTTCATCCGTGGACTGCTTGCAGAGGCAAAGGCAATGTTCGCGGCTTTCACTGAGACCCACATAAAGGATCACTTGGACAACGAAATATGGATCCCAGGTTACAACCTATACAGATGTGACAGAGTGAACAGGCAAAAGGGTGGGGTTGGCCTGTACATTGCAGAGTCACTTGTTTGCACAGAACTGCTAAATGCCTCAAATGATGTAGTGGAAGTTTTAGCAGTAAAGGTTGAGAACCAAAACCTAGTCATTGTGATAGTCTACAAGCCTCCGGATGCAACATCCCAGCAATTCCAGGAACAGCTGTTAAAAAATTGACCACTGTCTGGAAAACCTTCCAGCTCCTGCACCCAACATCTTGCTCCTGGGGGATTTCAACTTAAGGCACCTAAAATGGAGGAATATAGCAAATAATATTGTTGCAGTAATAACACCAGGAGGCAGCTCTGATGAAAACTCACACTCACGCGAGCTTTTAAATCTCTGCACAAAATTCAATTTAAACCAGCAAATAATAGAGCCTACTAGACTGGAGAATACACTAGACCTCATCTTCACTAACAATGATGATCTGATAAGAAATATCACCATATCAAAACAATATACTCAGATCACACATAATTGAGGTCAGTCATGTATGCGCGGAGCCCAGACCGACATAAGGAGATTAGTCACGAGGGAGCATTCACCCCAAATTCAACTTCAATAACAAAAACATAAAGTGGGACCAAGTAAACCAAGTCCTAACCGATATAAGCTGGGAAGATATACTAAGCAACACAGACCCCAACTTATGCCTAGAACAGATTAACTCGGTAGCACTCGATGTATGCACAAGGCTTATTCCTCTAAGAAAAGGAGGAGTAGATGTAAAACAGAAAGAGACAGGCGCTCCCTTTACAGGCGACGGAAAAGAATAACAGAGCGGCTAAAAGAGGTCAATATCTCTGAAATGCGTAGGGAGACACTGGTCAGAGAAATAGCAAGCATCGAACTTAGCTAAAAGAATCCTTTAGGAGTCAGGAATCGCGGGAAGAACTAAAAGCCATAAATGAAATCGAAAGAAACCCAAATTTATTTCTTCTCCTATGCCAAATCAAAATCGAGAACAACGTCCAGTATTGGGCCCCTACTTAAACAAGATGGGTCCTACACAGATGACAACAAGGAAATGAGTGAGCTACTCAAGTCCCAATATGACTCAGTTTTTAGCAAGCCGCTAACCAGACTGAGAGTCGAAGATCAAAATGAATTTTTTATGAGAGAGCCACAAAATTTGATTAACACAAGCCTATCCGATGTTATCCTGACCCCAAAATGACTTCGAACAGGCGATAAATGACATGCCCATGCACTCTGCCCCAGGGCCAGACTCATGGAACTCTGTGTTCATCAAGAACTGCAAGAAGCCCCTATCACGAGCCTTTTCCATCCTATGGAGAGGGAGCATGGACACGGGGGTCGTCCCACAGTTACTAAAAACAACAGACATAGCCCCACTCCACAAAGGGGGCAGTAAAGCAACAGCAAAGAACTACAGACCAATAGCACTAACATCCCATATCATAAAAATCTTTGAAAGGGTCCTAAGAAGCAAGATCACCACGCATCTAGAAACCCATCAGTTACACAACCCAGGGCAACATGGGTTTAGAACAGGTTGCTCCTGTCTGTCTCAACTATTGGACCACTACGACAAGGTCCTAAATGCACTAGAAGACAAAAAGAATGCAGATGTAATATATACAGACTTTGCAAAAGCCTTCGACAAGTGTGACCATGGCGTAATAGCGCACAAAATGCGTGCTAAAGGAATAACAGGAAAAGTCGGTCGATGGATCTATAATTTCCTCACTAACAGAACACAGAGAGTAGTCGTCAACAGAGTAAAGTCCGAGGCAGCTACGGTGAAAAGCTCTGTTCCACAAGGCACAGTACTCGCTCCCATCTTGTTCCTCATCCTTATATCCGACATAGACAAGGATGTCAGCCACAGCACCGTGTCTTCCTTTGCAGATGACACCCGAATCTGCATGACAGTGTCTTCCATTGCAGACACTGCAAAGCTCCAGGCAGACATCAACCAAATCTTTCAGTGGGCTGCAGAAAACAATATGAAGTTCAACGATGAGAAATTCAATTACTCAGATATGGTAAACATGAGGAAATTAAATCTTCATCAGAGTACAAAACAAATTCTGGCCACAAAATAGAGCGAAACACCAACGTCAAAGACCTGGGAGTGATCATGTCGGAGGATCTCACCTTCAAGGACCATAACATTGTATCAATCGCATCTGCTAGAAAAATGACAGGATGGATAATAAGAACCTTCAAAACTAGTGAGGCCAAGCCCATGATGACACTCTTCAGGTCACTTGTTCTATCTAGGCTGGATATTGCTGCACACTAACAGCACCTTTCAAGGCAGGTGAAATTCCCGACCTAGAAAATGTACAGAGAACTTTCACGGCGCGCATAACGGAGATAAAACACCTCAATTATTGGGGGGCGCTTGAGGTTCCTAAACCTGTATTCCCTGGAACGCAGGAGGGAGAGATACATGATTATATACACCTGGAAAATCCTAGAGGGACTAGTACCGAACTTGCACACGAAAATCACCCACTACGAAAGCAAAAGACTTGGCAGACGATGCAAACCCTCCCCCCAATGAAAAGCAGGGGTGTCACTAGCACGTTAAGAGACCATACAATAAGTGTCAGGGGCCCGAGACTGTTCAACTGCCTCCCAGCACACATAAGGGGGATTACCAACAGACCCCTGGCAGTCTTCAAGCTGGCACTGGACAAGCACCTAAAGTCAGTTCCGGATCAGCCGGGCTGTGGCTCGTACGTTGGTTTGCGTGCAGCCAGCAGCAACAGCCTGGTTGATCAGGCTCTGAT